AAAAAAAAAAAAAAAAACAAAACAAAGATAAAGATAATCATTGAGAGCATTATTGAGCATTTTTTTTCTCCTTTTTGTTTCGTTAAAAACCTCAGCTTTTCTTTTCACAAACCATAAAAACTATAAGTCTCCACCTCTTTTTTCTTTACTGTTTTCTCTATGTTTTTTATTTTATTTTATTTTTTTGCTTTTCTGAGCAAATAACTTCTGAAAATAAATCATCATACTAATGTGATCTCCTTTTATCATTTATATGCATCTGTGCATTTTGTAGCCACTTTTGTCAACCCCGTATCTGCCTTACCCAGTTCTGAACGTTCTCCAAGAAAGCTAGCACCAACCGAGAAACTCCATCAATAACAATCTGTGCTGACTCTTTCACATAAATGTTCCCTAAATCATAAAAAAAGAAAAACTGAAGGAAAAAAAAGAGTGGAAAAAAGATGAGGAAAGTTAAAAAAAGCTAAAGTGTTTTTTTAAACCATAAAAATTATTGTTTTTTCTCTTCCTCCTTTTTCTCCTTCGCCTTTTTGATCTGCTTTCTCACTTTCACTCTTTACCCCCACCCACGCCCTCTCTCCTTCTTCCTTCTCTTTCTCTTCCTCCTTCTCCTCCTCCTTTTCCCCCTCAATCCCCTCTTATCTTCTCGTTGTTGCAGCTGTAATCTGTCCTCAAGTTCTGTAAAAAAAAGTAAAGCAGGAAAAAAGTTAAAGCAAAACGCCGGTTGTAATTTCTTGCATTTTCCAGCCTTTTTTCTTTTTTATGCCATCATTTCAGTGTTTATTCTAATCCTTTTCTTTCGTCTTTTTTTCCTCTTTAATTTCTTTAATTACCGATACTAACAACAGCAGACTTTGACAGGAGAAGCGGCGGGGTGAGTGGCAGGCATTGAAAAACCGAGAAGTAAATGGTTTTGTTGTTTGGTGTTCCATCAGATATATCCACACAATCCAAACACACAGATGCACAGTAATTGTTAATAATAAGAAAATACTACAAAATTCATTTATGTGTACAGTTTTTTCCAACAGAAGAAAAATTCTATTTCTTTTTTCTTTTTTCTTGCATTCAACAAAAATTGGTTCAGCAAAGAGAGGAAGAAAGAAGCTTACAAAGTGCAACAGACTCACACAAATCAACTAAAAAAAAAGTCAATTAAATTGGCATCTGTAAATCGTTTCAAAAAAAAAGAAAAAAAATTAGGAAAAAAATGGCACAACAGAAATAAGAAGAAAAAAATTTTTTCAATTTGGAATAAACTAAAAAAATTGTTACCAAATGCGTAAATATTTTTTTCCTTTCGTTTTTGGCAGGTCTTACATTCACATTTAGCAGATACTATAAAATTAATTGAGCTTTATGGTTTTTCTGCTAAAGTTTTTCTCAAATAACATTAAAAAAAAAAAAAACAAAAACAAGATAAAGGTCTAAACAGATTTGAAGAAAAGCTAAATTTTCCTCTCCTCTTTATTCTTTTCTTTTTTCTTTTACAATCTGATAGAAATTATCAAACACAGATTTGATGGCAACCATATAGCTTAAATATAAATACACATAAAAACAGAAAAAAAAGTAAATGTGCAGAAAGAAAAGCGAAAATAGAGTTGTTACGACTAATAACTCATGGTTATCATTACAGACAAAAGCCAGGTCCAGCAAATATTAAACCTAGATTCCAGAATCAAAAAAATTGCTTAGGATCATTTTTTCGTTTCGCTCGATTACTGAAAATCCGTTCAGTTGACTGTTACATCACAACCGGTTACCGTTCATCAAAGAAGAAACTTCTAGAAAATTAATTTTAAAAAACCTTATAAAACATCCAGAACTACTTTCAGAAAGTTCCAGGCTACACTTTATGAAAAAAGCTTTCAAAACATTCTGCTCTTTTATCTTTTGACTTAACCCTATTTCAATGTTCAGTGACTACATTGCTTTATATAGGCGTCAAAAAATGAAGCTATCAGTAGCCCGCAGATGGTAAACCTGATCTAAAAGTGGCTGACTGGTTTAAGATTAACCTTGTACAGTACTGAAAAAATCTGTTCTAAATACAGAACTAAACATTAATACGCAAAGAAATTGCTGATAACGTCAACAACGATGACGACGTCGTATCAGCGTCTAATGTAACGACAAAGTTCCATTATCTTTCAAAAAGAAAAATAAAACAAGTTCACAGAAACCAAACCTTTACGTATTCAGAAAATGCAAAAGAAATTAATATAAAGAAAAATTTTTAGCAAATTTTATCTTCAACACCACTTTTTCACCACTTTTTTTTCCATTTCTCTCACCATCTTTCTTTACCGAAAAACAAACTTTTTCTAATTGATTGAGCAAAAAATTACAGCCAACAACACTTGTAAAACCCTATACCATAACAACGTTAACATTACTCGTTACTACTATCGTTATCACTACTGTCACTCAGTATCGCCTATAAGATGAGATACAACCGTAAAAAAGGAAAAAAAAGTTGAACAATAAGCAGATTTATTTTTGAGCAGTGAATCAGCTAACGATGATCAATGTTCAAATAATAATTAAAAATTCCGAATAGTTGTAACTGAAACTAAATTTCCAATGAAAATGATATGGAAAAGTCCATAAACAAGTTCTAACTTTTCATGCATCCTTCTATATATATATATATATATATATTTGTATGTATAATGTGTATATCTATGAGATTTTGACAATTTTTTTGGTGACAGAATCGAACACAAAATTAACATCAAAAAGTCACTAATATTAATCAAACATTCATATAATTATACTTTTTCAACCGTTCTGCACAGTTCCTTTTGCCGTTTCTTTACCCTGTTGTTTCTGTTCCTTCTCACCTCTCTTTCCTTTTTCTTCTACTATTCATTCGCCTACTCAGCATTTCCTTAATTATTTTTTTCTCCTGCTAGTTTGTTTTTTTCCTTAGTTCTGTTGCCAGAAGAAATACATATTTAAAAAAAAAAAACAGAAAAAAATTACGAGAGAGAAGAGAGAAGGCAACTTCATGAGTCTCCCTCATATCTTTCCTGTTCTTCTCCCCTTTTCATCCAGTATCAAAGAAAAAAAAAAAAGAAAAAGTAGAGAATAATGAAAAAAGGATAAACACATAGTAACAAAAATAGAAGAAGTAAAGAAAAAATAATTAATGAAAGAAATAAATTTTTGAATTCATAGCTTACCGTTTTTGTTGTCAGCTGCATCTTTTAGAGGTACAAATACTTTTTGTAAAGATTTACGATACACATACAGTAAAAGTGCAACAAATATTTTTCCTTCTTCTTTCAGCCAGCAGAGATAGATAATAAGTGTTAAAAAGTTGTACGTTCTTCTTTACTGCTTTACTACAATTTCCTTCAGTAGGTGAATCAGATTACTCTTTTTATTATCCGCTTGCTTTTGTTTTTTTTAGCTATGCTAACTCCCACTTTTTTGTCGGCGAAATTTCAGATGGGCAGCAAAAAAAGAACAATGTATGTGAATAAGTACAAAAATATCTGATTAGCCTTTGTTTTCCTGCTACTTTCGTTTCTGCTTTTTCTTCTACTTCTGTTTTACATTACCAGTTGCCGATAATAAATGGTAAACAACAAGTACCACTATTTATTGGTTGATTACTCCTCAGTGATAGTGATAACTACAGCTGATGACAGTAGTAACATCCAAAATGGAACAGAAAGAATAGGTCAAATGTAGTAACAACAAAAACAAAAAGATTTGAAATGCTAATTGTGGAAACGTAATAAAATAAAACTATTTTTTTTTCCTTTTCTGGACCGATAAATAGTTGACGTCCGAGCTGACGCCGAGGTTACCGTCGCCGTGGTGGTTATCGTCGTACTCGACGAAATTGTAGTTATCGCCGTGATCGCCGACGTTTGCCACTTCACACAAAATCAAATCATCTAAAATGCCGCTGATGCCGCCGATCTCTAGCTGCATTTTTGAACGCTTTTTTTTTCCAGTTTCATTTTTCGATAATGTTCCCTTTTACAGAATATTACTTATTTCTTCGACAGAAGTCAAAGGAAGAGAAAAAAAGAAAATGAAGAACAAGGAGAAGAAGAAGAGAAGCAAGGAGAAGAAGAAGACGACGAAGACTATGATAATAATGATAATGATGAAGAAGAGGAGGAAGACGAAGATTTTTGACTTTTTCTTGGGACTCTAAAAACTGGAAAAAACCCACCTTCTTCTTCTGCAGCTCTTATCGTGTCTTCTGCTCAGTAAATTCATCCCTCCCACTTTATTCATTGTTACTTTCTCCCCTTTCCCTTCCCCATCACCAAACAACCTATCCGCATCCTATGACCAGCCATACTCCAGCCATTCTCAATTCCCGCTTATTATCCAAAGGCTTAAGTAGTGTAAATTGCACGCAAATTCCGAGTATATTAAAAATTGATGTCCACTCTTCCATCAAGACAGGACAAAAGCACAAAGAAAAAAAGAAAGAATGGAAACTTGCTTATTACTGATGTTTTACTAGTGACTCTTTTTTACGTCGTTGTCAAATGCTAACTTTAAATTACTCCAGTTTCTCCGTCGTTGGTATTGTTTCTTCTCCTCCTACCATTTAGCCGTTTTGGCTTTAACCAGTGAAAATTGCAGTAGCCACAAGAACAATTTGAAGGATCTTATTTTACGCCATCACCTCACCCGTCTACCATCTTGTTTGTAACCTTTTTCGCTGCTGATCTGTCCACTTTTAATTTTTTAGTGTTACCATAATCAGCATCATCATCACCACTGTCACCACAAAAACACAACTGCTTTTGACAGCTTTTCATCCTTCTCGGCATTGTCCTTTTCACTTCACTCATTAAAACCGTCTACCTATCCATCCATCCATCTGCTCATTCATCCACTCACTCTTTTCACTCTGTTATTACAAAACGTCAAAGACAGAAAAATTTAAATGCCATCGTTAAGAAAAAATTAAAAGTAGTTTAAGCAATCCCAATATCAAAATTTTTTCCGCTAATTTATTTACTAACCGCATCCATTACTATTGTCTTTAAAGTGCCAAATAAACTGCCAAAAATCACTATTTGAACTCTTCTGAACAATCCGTCAAATTTCACTTCCGTTCCATATGAACTTGAACTCCGTTTAACTAACATTCATCTTTCTTCCTTTTCTACGCTCATTATTAAGAAACTTGAGCTGCGAACTGATGTGCACATTTCAGTAAGTGCAAAAACCAAAACTTTCATTTCTTTCCCTAGCTTTTTTATTTACACAGCGTCTTCCATTCACTATCGTTGGTTTTTTTTTAATATTCTATTCTTCTTCTCACCACTTCAATATACTAATGATTACCGATGTTGTTTAAATCTTTTTCAATTGTTCATGTGAAATTTAGGACTCAAGTAATTTATGCATAATCAAGCACTTCTTGACTTCAGCCAATTAACCAAAACACAACTTGAAGCCCAACAATTCCTTTCTATAATCCAACAAATAATACTTGGCTTAGTGTGATTGAAAACAGGTGAAAAATGAGGCGTTGAAATAACAATTCACAATGAACCATTAAGTCAAAATTTTTGTCCCTTATGTAAAAACAGAAGCAGAAAGTCTTCGAAGTAACACTACTCCAGTTGTCTGCATATTGATAGATGATAAACAGTCAGCCATTAATTCATTAATACTAAATCCTGTCTGACAAGCACACCATTTATCTCCAAATACAAAACGATCATGGATTCCAAACTAAGAACTGAAAAGATTTTGACTTCTAAACTGAGAAAAGAAACAGTTAATTCTATACAATGGGTAAAATTTGATTTCTACCTTATTTTCAGGATTAAATTCCTTTTCTCACCCTCTACTTTCTCAGAGCTAAAAAAAGAAATTTTTTGGTTACACTTTGTAACGCGACGCAGATATCTGTTGAATGCTTGAAACCAACTGATTAGTGCAGCTCAAAAAATAAATAAAAATTAACAAAGAAAAAACTTCTAACAAAGAGCTTTTTTCACAAAAATAGAAAAAAAAAAATTCTGTTGTTTTTGTTGAAAAACCGCTTTTGCTTTTTATTTGGACCAATAACGATAACCCATCTCCACATTTAATTGTGTCAATCAGTAGTTTTCAAGATGTCCATACGAGATTTAGCACTAAAACATATTCTGTCCATATAAATATGTAAATTAAAACAAATCTATAAATTTAAATCACTTCTTATAACCAAACAAAACTTTCAAGTGAAGAACAGTTACGCTAATATTAAAATGAAGCAAATAAACAGTGATTTACTAGACAAATAATTGTCTTTTTTCGCCTTTCTCTACTTTTTGTTTAAATTTTATTTAATAAAAAAAAAATGAAACATAGTTTATTGGCGACCCATATTCGAGAAATACCCCTCTTCAAATACTAACCAACTTTTATTGACTACACAAAAAAGCATACACACATATACTCACTAGCAGATACATAAAGAAAAAATTCTAATCTATTTCTTTCCTTCACTCTTCTCTCCCCCATAATTTGTTTAAGAAACCCAATAAAAATTACAGTTACAGATTTTCTGTTGAAAAAAAAAGAAACTGTTGTTATCAAAAAACAAAATATTCATGTTCACATAAAAAAAGAAAAAAAAAGAAATTTCAAAATGAGCATCAATTAAAACTCTATCTAAGAAAAACTATTAACCAGCTAAACAAATAAGTTCAAAAATGTACAAATGGATATGATTCCTGCCCCTCTTCATTACGCATCTAGCTAATAAAAGAAGAAAATACACAACAAATTTCCGTTTTTTTTCTATCAACCCCTTCCCTCCGGTTTAGAATATAGCTTTAAAAACCTCATAAAAAACTCTTTCAAAACGACACTATTTTAAAAACACATAAGGAAAAAACAAACCACCCAAGAACAACTGCGAAGATCAAAAATGGTAGCCTGCAAATTTAGCTGCGATGCACATAATAAGCTAATGAAAGAAAAACAATCTCACCCAGAGGTTTCAAAAAATTTAAAAAATGAGACTTTGCATAAAATAAAAAACATTCTGTACTTTAAAGAAAGAATGCATTCATGTGGCTATTATTACCATCAAAACTATATCTACAACACATTTCTGGTATTTAAAACACTTCAACAATGTATTAAAAAACATGTAAAGCCATATAAACCAACTAGCAAGTGTCAATTAAGCGTCTAAGAAAATTCGTAAAGTACCAGGTTCACGCAACATTCAAGCCAACTGATTACTAACTACCGCCGCTGAACATGGTAATTTTCCATACCCTGGAAAAAAATCTTAAAAATTTAGCTTTCAAGGATACGTTGTACATCACAACAAGCCAACAGAAAGAGCAAACCAAAACAAGAGAAATAAAGATGCGCGTTATAAAAGGATTCAGTACTATATCAACACAAAGATCACCCCAGTCACGGCACCGATCAAATTACAACCTTCTAAGCAACTATGAGATAATGTTTCAACTTCCTTACCCCATCAAATACTCTTAAACGGAACGGGCTACTGAAAAGCTAAAGGAAAAATTAGTTATCAGAAAGAATAATCAGTGCATAACACCAATCTATGCAAACCAGCTTTGCAGCCAATTATCAGCCTTAAATCTAAGACACTACTCTCATAACTATTATACATTTAATACGAACTGCTACTCAATGTATCTTATACAGAAATTTGAAGGCATACGTTCACGCAACAAATTTTTCACTACATTACAACAATGTGTAAGATAAAACTAACTTAGAAAAAAGTTAAGTCAAAAAATAAGTTCTTCAAAAGAAGGGAGGCAAAATAAACTCGTAGTAAGTAAATAGCTAATTTGACTGTCGGGGACTATCTAGAAGGTCCTTTGCTTCGTTAATCTTCGCAGCTAGGTACGGAGATCCTCCTGAAAATAAATAACTTCCATTCGTCCTAATGAAAACTAGAAATAAAAATTTTAACATTTATACTGAACAAATAAACCTCATTGAATATCGAACGTGAAACATTTATTTTTGTCAATGAATTTTGGCGACAAACAAAAAAGTAAACTTTTACATAAATAGCCTCTCAGAACCCCTTATTCTTAACAAAAGCTAATTTTAAAACACTCCACTAACAAACCCTATTCAAATCTTCTTCATCTTAAACTCCTCTTGTTCCTCAGGATTTTTCATCAAACACAAACCTAAGGCGCAAACCTATAACGTTTATACTTCTTTATGCACACCACTAACAGACTAATACGTACATGGCAATGCCATCTTCAGATCTTGAGTCTCAAGAATAATTTGCTACGTGAAATAAATAGATGGGGCGAGCGACTGAAAAAAAAAACTGGTATGAAATCTTTAAGAGCTGAAAGTTTGGATCAAGAGACCAACAAAAAGTAAGAAACCTTCACCATCAAATTCGCCATCCAGACAGCGGAAAATAAATTTAGCAAATATAGCTCATTAAAATGCTCCAAAATTAGTACAAAACGCCATGCCCATACCACCACACTCATAAACTTATTTGTCTTTTGCGGCCAAAAAACGACCAGCTTTTAGAAGAGTACCTACATTAAACAAAAATCAAAAAGAACATTTGTGCTAAACAAAAAGAAATCCGATCGACACGCTTTTATAGGTTAAAAATCTACGAAAAAGTGCCTGATTTCTCATTATCGTATAGAGTTTCTAAAGAAAAAAAACCATAAAAAACCTTAAAAACGAAAAATTGGGTTAAAAAGACGATTATAATGAAATAACTACCTCTATCGGGATGATTTGCAATCATAATTCGTTTGTGTGCCTCTTTAATTTTATTTGGCTTTGCATTAAGAGGGATGCCCAGTATCATGGCTGCTTCTTTCCGCGACATTTTAGGTTCAAACCCTCCACGATGATATTTTGAAAACTGAATCAAATAAATTAAATGATTATTACTGGGAAAACTATTAATTATTCTATACACGAACAAAACGATTAACTTTTGTTTGAAGCCAATGAAGAAATTTAAGAAATAAAAAAATTGGAAAAAATTACAGCGGAAGCGACTGGGAGGGATTTTACTGCTTTCTCAATTACTGAACGATTCCGCAAAAGATAACGACCAAGAAAGCTTCCCGCAGCAAGCGTAACGCCTGCTAAGATCACAGTACCAGACTAAAAATACCAGCTCAAATAGATGACCCACCATTGCATGTGAGCTACAGCAAGAGATCCGTAAATTCATATCGTACCCTGACCTCAGAAACACCAAGAAAAAACTTTAACAAAAAAAATGCATTAAAAAACAAAGGATTATTGTATATAAGAAATATAAATACAAAAAGATAAAACAAAGAGAATAATCAAATCAGTAGATAAAAAATTAAAGAAAACAGTTAACGAAATCATCTTACTCAACATTTTCATGAGGTTCTCCCTAATTCATGAAATGATAACTAATATCAAACCTTACTTCTTCCGCACAAAATGATATAGATCCGTTCCCAAAATCTTCACTATAATTTCTCAGCTCTCAATAATTCTAACACCACATATTTTTTTTAATTTTTTTTGTCTCATTACCACTGTTCAAACTGGAAGGAGAACATAATCTTTTGAAAAACTTACCATTAACTGCACAAGATCCTGGACAGGAAAGATAAGAGACCTGAAATTTTCATACAGAAAAATTTTTGAAACATGAAAGCCTACTTGTGCATAGACGAAGTATAAATAGACTGACTTACAACGAGCTCATTTGGCAGCAAATTGGTTTGTTTAAGCTCTTAAAAAGGCAACTAGATTGCACGATATAGACTGAAATTGTCAAGAAGCGAAATTCAGTTGTAGTATCAAAGCAAAAAAAAAAGCCATACACTGTTTCCACAAAATAAATATATTAAAAAAAATAATGTGGTAAATTTCCCAGAATTTCTCAGCTTCATTTTACGTCTTGTATGAAATTATTCCTTTCATAAATTCATTTTTCCAACTCAGAAGCATTATTCCTGAAAAGATTTTACGAAAGGAAAAAACATCGTTGAAAAAAGAAGCAGTGAAGATTAAGTATTTAAGTTCAAAAATGAATCAAATTATTATCAAGGAACCCCAAACAGGCAGCACGCCGTAAAGTAGCGACAAAAAAAACATTACCAAAAAGAATGTATAAAAAAATATTCACAAGGCCGCTTTCATATCAGCAAGTGGTGTAAGAGATAGTACAGATATTTGTTAATAGGTTCGCAGAAATCTAGACGGTTCAAATTCACTACCGTGCAATTCATCTCCTCACCGTTCAGAAATTTCCTGACCAATTCCTGGTCCACATAAAAACACCTACGTAGACACAGAGGTTTAGTTGCGTGCACAGAACTTATTAATCCACTGTATGAAGTGATCAGAGAAGCTGTTGTAAAACGCCTTCCGAAACACGTACTCATAAATATACGTTTCAAAAAAATCTTCGGTCGTTCCAGTCATGACTTTGTAATTTTTACTTTTTGGAAATCACCCTTCAGCTAATCACCTGACTAACTCATTAGTGAATTACGCCTGCTACGGTCATTGCGAGCGACACGTGAGGAACTAGAACATAAAACTTAGGAAGCTTTCCTACCCACTTCATCTATAAACACTCTATTGAGAATTCACGTTCAGACTAGTACCGTGCCCAATCTTCCGAGGTCTAGTGAAGTTGAAAAAAAAAAAGTCATGATTGTAACAAGCGTGGATCCTTCTGAAATGTAAATCTAAGAGAATTTCATCCCAGAGGCGTTCCTCAGCGACTTCTTCGGTCAACTCAAACAGTATACCAATAAGTTCTGTGTACACAATTAAAACACTGCAGTTGCATAGGTGTTTTGAAGAAGACCAGAAAATGATTGAGAGGTGTGAGACTTATAAGTAGATAAATTACACGAGAGCGAGTTTGAACAATCCAGATTCCTCGGATCGCGGTTATAAAATACCTGTACTTTCCATTAAGCCACCCACTGCCCTGAAGCGGCATTGTGACACGGCAAAAGGATTAAAAGCATTAAACCGTTAGAAAGCTGGCAAAAGCTAAGTAGACAACTCTGAAACTGTCACAGATGAACTGCTAGTATCGAGAACTTCGTATACAAAAAATGAAGTTCAGGTGACGATGAAAAAAGACACGTTTGGAGATGGGCCCGTTTGACCGCAATAGCGCCTAAAACTTTAGCAGAGGTAGCGCAGAAACAACGAAGTAAGTCGGATAATTTATAAAGCGAAATAAGTATAAATTCAAATCGCATAAATACGATACACATAAAACATGTTTTATAAAGTATATTCTTTTCTGTAGATTAAGAAGGCAAAAATCGATAAAAACAGGTTATTTACTAATATGAAAATTCCAATTTAATCGGTGTTACTTTGGTTTGCCTTACGGTGATGTATGCCTAAGAAGATATAAAGTTATTTGTCACGAAAACTAAACCCACTTCAACCGTATTCAAAGTTTTCAAAACTATATAGAAATTAACAAAAAAAATTTCTGAAATTCAGTCATATAAAAGAAAAAAAAACAATAAAAAAACATTTCCATGAAAAACAGTTCTTCGAAAGGTCCATGAAGAGTCCACAAACTTATAGAGAAATTCACCTTCCTTCAACTCCGGCCGATTTTATGACAGCAGTTGCAATTGAAGGAGATTTCGTTTAGAGAGCCTGAACTGTTGGTCGATTGCCAACAGCCAAATTTCTTGGATCAAATGAATACAGAGCTGTTGTGTAAATGTTGTGCAAACTTGTATGTATAATTTTTTGAATTGACTTAATTTCAGAAATGACAAACAAGGTTGCACAACATTTAGTTCTGTGTCCATTTGATCCTGATCGTCATAGGTTTTAGTTACCGGCTGAAAACATTTGCCATAACTGCTTAATATAATCTGCAGAAAAACAGATGGGTAGCGTCTTGATGTTCTTGTTTCTTGTAGATTTCTTCTTTTTGAAATTTGTGCTACCGAATTCCAGAGATAATTATTGCCTAATTCTGGTAATTAAAATCTTTTTTATAGATTTCAACTCTAGTTCTTGTGTGTCTCTTCTTTATTTGTGGTTTTGAATTGAGTCCAAAAGGACTGGTAAATTTCGAGAAGTTCCAGGACTGAATCATTGGCTTGTTACACTGTTTTCTGAAGTTTCTTGGACTCCATAGATCGAAATCTTTATTTTTGTTGATTCTGCAAGTCATATCTTATGCTTATAATGTGTAGAATTAGCTAAAGAGTGTAATACTGTGACCTCGTCTGAGTTTCTGAGAAAACGTAAGTATACTGTCGTTGGTTTTCCTGTTGAGTATATCTTGAAAATATCTTGAAAATCAAGCATGTTATTTTGAAAATTGTTTAAATTAATTGCTTAAAACACTTGAATTTTACTGTTTTGAAATCTGTTACAGGTTATGCTCAAAGATTTCTTTGACATTGAGGAAATTGACGAGGCCGAAGTGAAAGAGGACAAACTCCATGAAAAGTTTTCTAAAGTTGGGTGCTCGAGAAGGAAACAGTTTAGGCAGTCAACTTTAGATAAATTTACAGGATCTTCACCAAAAACTCCGCTTTCTGGGAATTCCAGTTCTTTACGTCGGAAAAGGATACCTGAGGGACGTGGACATTTCTCAGTCACCAGAACTGGTATATTTTGAGCTCAATAAATGAGCTGTTCCTTCTGTTATTCCGGACCTGAATGAAATATTCTGCCTAATTTTTGAAAATGTTCAAATGGATACATGGACAGCAGTTCTAATTATTTTAGTTGTTGATAAACAGGAGAGAATAGCAGTGTCGTTAAAGGAAGGTCGCGTCTTTAGTCCTGCCGTAATTGTTACAGAGTATGATTGTGAGAAGCCGTCCGGGTCGAAGAATGAAATCGAGAGGATGGGAGAAACTATCAAAAAAGTAACTTTCAAATACTTTGTGTAGTTTAGTTAGCTGAACGCTACTCAGGAAGTTTTTCTATTTCTTTCTTTTTAGGGTAGTAGTCATTTCCATTCACTAATTCATGCCTATATTCTTTAGCTTCAATTATGCATGAGATTTCTTCGTTGTCTTTATGCTCTTCTGATGCGGGACAAAACTTTTTTACTGTTAATTCCGACAGTGATTATAAATGTTTGTTTGGTAATAAGATTTCATTGGAAAGCCTTACGAAGTAAAGCTAGATCAGTGTGATCTTATGAGTTCTTGGGGTATTTGCCTTATGAAAAGATTACTTTTCTAGATCGGGAGAGGATGACAAAAATCGCATTGTAGGCGATTACTGTATAACTGGACGGTCGAATATTTCTTACCTTTCTTCTGTATTTCGCTTAGAGAGACATTCTTCTCTACATAAAGTTTTTGTTCGTGGGACTTTCTTAATATTTCGTAATAATCGTGTTTTTCATCAAACGGCAAAATATGGAATGGTTTTTAATCCACCACATCCGCTGATTCATTTGTTTTTGAAATGAGTTTGAACAGTAGGGAGGTTGATAAATTATTGGGACTTTATGGTATACAAGTAGTTTATACATTTGTGTTTCATTTTCTAATGTACGTTTTTTTTTAAGTATTCTGCTCTTCGTACTTTTCTTGTTTTGTTTCTTTTTTTTTTCTTGGGTAATGATTTGAGTCCTTTTTCTTGGGTAATGATTTGGGTTCATTTTATTGGGTGTTACCTTTTTGTGATAATGTCGGTTACCAAACCACGTAATGGAGGATTTCTTCTCCAGAATGTGTCGGAAAAAGGAAAACATTAGTTTTAACTTTGTTTTAATGCTGTTATATGATCATCTTGTTATGAGGCTTTTTGTGCTTAACAGTCATTAATAGAACGCAGAGAATGTTTTCTTATAGTTATACATAATTTGTGCATAAATGGCGATCTGTTTTTTTGGACGTTTTGCCTTGAGTAATTATTTTTCTTATTCTCCTTACCTTTATCAGTTTTACACTGGGAAGGTAGATTTAGCTAGCACTAATTATTTGGATACTCAGTATGGTATGTTCTAATTGTTGTCACTAATGTTAATATTATTATTTAGGCTAGAAACAGTTCTCTTTATAATCATTTTGAAACTATGAGTGAGGGGGCAGCGAACGTTTGTAAGGAACCAGAAGTGTCATTGACCGAAACAGTATGTACAGGCAGTGGACTCAAGACGGAGTTGGTATGTTTCACTAGTTTAATACACCTACAAAAGCAAAGTTTTGCAACTGACGAATTTTCAGCCTAAGTTGGAATCCTTTCGAGTGTTTGATGAAATATACCCTGATTTGAAGCATCTGTCTAATGGAGATTGTATTTTAATTGAATTGGATTCCGTCAAGCTTAACACGGTTCCACATCCTTTTCCAGCTTCAGATTTGACTTCTTCGTTTGACTGGTCAAATTCGAACAAGTACAATCTTTGTTGTAAGAGATTTGGTGTAGTTTCCATGTGTTGTTGTAATAGATAAACTATTTAATATGGCTTCCTTTGCGTCGTTTCAGGTACGTGAAGTTACCTTTTGCACCTGACAGTCAAAATTACAATCGCATCAGAAGTGCTCTTGAAGATATTTCGGTGCCTTTGAAATCTCATTACGAACTTGAAGTTGGTTTCTTTTAAGTGCATACTGTTGGTGTACATTTAATATTTTGACTGTTCATTGCTTTGTTTCTTTAAACGAGGCTAAATAACAGTAAACCTAGGTCTTTTGCTGATTTGATGGAATAACTTGTATCCATCGATATAGTTACTTTAAAGGAATGTTTGGGGATCATCTGCCAAGGGCGTGGCTGTTCTCTCGATATCTTTGACCACTTTTTTGACGAAGTTTTAGAAGAAAGCTTGCGGGATAAGTACTTGACAGAGGTCATTCCTTTTATGGCTCAACTTGCTTTAATGGCTCCCTCTCTGATTACACAGGTAAGTCTTGGTTTGCTTTGGGAGAGCTCTTGATTTGTTACCAAAGCGAATTTTTGTTGCAGATTTATTTTTTGATTTTTTCAGCCAATTCCTCTTCTAAGAAGTGGTTTTAATGGTTCTGTAACTCTAAGCCAGCAGCAAGTTGCTGCTCTACTTGCTCATGCTTTTTTTTCCACATATGAAATGCCAAGAGCTAGGCAGTGTTCACTGCCGGTTATTAATTTTGATCGCTTATTTGACAAAAAGAATCGTACTGCTGTCGAGAAACTTCGATGCATTCTGCATTACTTCCACTGTTTGTATGAAGAAAGTAAGTTGTACTCATGCTCTCCTTGTGGGATTGTTCATTGCTAACTTAATATCTTTTCAAAACAAGATTTTACCTCTGCTGTTCTTCTCAGTACACAGTGACTTTTTCGTTTCGTTCGTATACATTTACCTGTTCTCTAAGAGCTCCCTTCAAACTTACTTTTATGACACTTTACTTTGGGAAAGTAGTGAATGCCTCAAAGTTATTTCGACTTTAATTTTTCAGTGCCTTTTGGTGTTATAACTTTTCGTAGACAGTCTGTGGATCCTCCTGATTGGAACAGGTTAACAAACCATCTTTCTGATTTTGTCGTGCAAAGTTCTGGAACTATTGAAGATGATGGTTTTGGTATGCTTGAAGTTGATTTCGCGAACAAATACATTGGAGGAGGTGTTCTGAGTAAAGGTTGTGTTCAGGTTGGTTTGTTTCTTGAAGTCTGCGATTTTACTACTGTTAAGTTTGGTACTTTTAGCTCAGTTTTGTTCCCGGGTCAGTCTGAAATAACTAGTCTTAATCTTTTAGAAGAAGTAAAAAGATTTAGTTGTGGTAGAGTTTTGAAGGAAACTATAGTTTATTATTTTGGTAATAGTAAGTTTTTAAGGAAGAAATTCGTTTCTTGATATGCCCAGAGTTGATTTTATCTTGTCTTTTCTGTGAAAGGATGTCTGAAAACGAAGCCATATTTATCAGCGGAGCGCAAAGGTTTTCTAACTATACAGGATATGGGAGGGATTTCAAATGGCATTCTGCTTCAAAACAAACTACTTTAATGAGGTGGGTACATATCATTTTTTTATGCACGATAGTATGAAAATGTTTTTTTATTACATTTAAAACAGGCATAGATAAACATCAAATTGCTAGAAATAGAAGTTGTGCATTAAGAAACTTTCAGTGAGGAATGTTAGAAACGTCTTTTTGGTTTCTTCCTAATTCATTGTTA